GACCCTGCTTCGGCAGGGGTGTTGGACTAGATGACCCACAGAGGTCCCTTCCAACCCCTACTATTCTGTGATTCTGTGATATGTTAGTTCAAAATTGTCTTAATTTATTTTTAAATAGGTTTAAAAGTGAGTGTGTTTATCCAAAGCAAAAACTTACATGGGAGTTCGTGCTTCAGATTTAACTCATTTATGCAGATGTAAGTGTCCACAAAATGTTTGCTTTGGTATGGCTAATTTGTATTCATGTAACAACTTTTGTTAAGCTGTTATGAATTTGAACATAGGCAAAACCTCAATTTTATATCCTGTTTGAAATGCTGGGATGGAAAACAATGTCCTTTATTTCTTTGGTGGTGGTTTTTGACAATGAAAGGAGTGTCATGGGCATGAGAATTTTATTTGAAGTGGTTCTTTAAAAACGTTGCCACAGTAGGTACAGGAATTTGTTTTAAATATTGTGCATAGGATTTGCTCTTGATAATGTCTCAAAACGCTGTATTTAACAATGTATAGTAGACTACTGGGTCATTCTTTCTAATTATTATGAGATTCTCTGAGCATCTCTGGGAAAAACAAGACGTGTTTATGAATTAGCATTAAAGAAACTAAACCTGCTCTCCTCAACATAAGCCTGTACATAGGAGATTATGGCTTGTTTCCTACTTTTAAATCCTGTTCTCTTCTCTCCCTCACTCATTTTCTCTGCAACTGAATTTGTTGTAGATAGCAACAAAGAGCCATATTTTTCTATTTGATATCTTCCTTCTGGGACCTCAGGCTTTCAAAAATGGATTACAAATGGTGCTGGAAGATAAAAAGATCTTAAAGGTAAGGGTACAGGGTATGTGAGGACATTTGTGGTGGCAGAGGTCATATACATATATGGTGATCAAGTTGCACCAGAAAAGTTGCAGTTGGACACAAGTTTGTCTGACAGCTCTTTCTTGCTTCAGGTCATGCATGACTGTCGCTGGATCTCAGACTGCCTCTTTCACCAATATGGTGTCCTTCTCTTCAATGTCTTTGATACACAGGTACCCTTCAAATATTCTGATTGGGAACAAAAATTTCAAGGACAAACTTCAGCCTTGTTGAAGGCACTCTCTCAGAGAAGTTTTAACATTACTAGAATGTGACGGTTATTGAACCATGTAAATGTATCAGTTTTGTCGTAGGTAAAAAGAACCAGCACGCAAGGCTGATACTATCATTTAGTCTTGTGTAGAACCATTTTAAAAGGTAGTTAATATCTAATATTAGCAGCAAGCTTAACTTTTTTGTTAAGATGTATTAACTGGTCTTGATGAAGCATGGCACAACCTGAGGCTACTGTGACTTAAACAAGTGCTAGGTCAGCTTTTGCATTATATGCTTTGTTGTTCTTTTTGCCCCTTTCACAAGTGTAAAAACAGATTCACGTTACAGGTATCCAGCACTCGGAAGCACCTGATGAGGGCAGTGGTGGAAGTGAGAGAACAGGCCAGGTTACCACAAAAATCTGTTTTTGCTCGTGCTGGCCCTGGTAGTTGTTGTAGTTAACGTTGGGTGACTAACAGGAGAACTGGAGCGTTTTGAGAGAAGAAAATAACATAATGTCTATGATCTTTCATAATGGGTATGGATATGTTATGCATAGTTATGTATGACTTGTCCTTGCCTATATACTGACTTTATAGGCAGTCGTATCTGACATGTAATAACTCTTCAAAGCCCTAATCTGGGCTATGTAGTATGCTTTATACAGCAGAGGTTTCTCTCTGTCTCTCTCTGATCTTAGTTTGGCCTTCTGCCCCTAAAAATTATGTTATTCCATTACAGGTCAAATACCAGTTAGTGTTACGTCTTGACTGCATGAAAAAGGTAGGGGAGAAAATTCACACCAGTGCTCTCAACTGTACTGGCTAGAACATGTGACTGATACAGTGGAAATAACTAACCAGAACTATCCACCCTAGTGTCTGAAGTACAGAGAATTGCACTCATTGTTCTGTTGTCTTGGTATGAGCTGACGTGCATGCTTTTCTTGCACGAATAGATTTCTAGGCTTAGATTCAATTACTCTGATTCGTTGGCCTGAATCCTACTTCATTAGTAAGCTATGAAGTAGTCTGGTTTTGGCTACCCTGCAGTGTACCCGATATTGTGAAATTAAGCTGTCTTGTCTTCTACTCTGTACTACTGGAGCAAATAACTGGGAGATAGCTCTGAGCAAACTCTCATAGATGCTTTTTGTGAAGCACTTCTTAGGGACAGCTTCCCACTGTTGTTAAATTGGAACAGGCTGTATGAGACAGGTGAGACTCTGCTGACAGAATACAGCAATGGAATGAAGAACTCTGGTTTAGATAGGATCCCATCTGCATAATTTGAAAAGTGTTATTTATCCCTGTATTTTGCCAGTTGCTGCAACTGTGTATTCCTTGCAATAAGTAACCTAATATAATTAACACGACATGTAGAGGATGGCAGTGAAAGCTTTCTGATGTTCACCGACTGTCTTCTATGCTGATGTTCTTAGAATACTTAAGTATCACTTGTTGAAGTAACTTTTAATGATAATGTCTGTGGAAGTCTGATACTGCTATTTCACACTTGATTGCCTTGGAGGGAGAGGTGTCTCTGTTGGGCTATAGCAACCTAAAAAGCTACATAGTGAGCAGGCAACTGGCTGTTGTCAGTGCTTACATCATTAATATTGCCTTCTGGGACATTTCCACGCTGCATCATGAGGCTAGAGCATTCTCATATTTTGAAATCCCTGCCTATTTTAAAATGTTGTTGGTTGCATATCTATGTACTACTGAAAGAAATAATACAGCTCTTCCTAGAGGTGTATGCTGAAAGAATAAACAATTTGACAGCTGGAGACTTTCCATAAGACAGAGGTCCATGTAAAGTTTGATCATAAAATGTACAAGTGAAGAAGTCATTGTTGCTGCCTGGTTCCACAAATCAAAGCATATACACTACTCTTTAGCGTGTCGTAGTTTCTTCTGCCCTTGAATCCAAGCCATTAGTGTGCAGTGACATTGGACAAAGATTTTCACAGTGAAAGCTAAAACATCATTTTCATTGTGGGCAAGTGTATTCTATAACCTTGTTCATTCATGTTAGACTTCGTATGAATATTGATTGCAAAGATGCTTTCTTTTTTGTTTAAACATTTGTTTGATGCTCTCCTTGTTTGGAAAGCATTGAAATCCTTTACTAGAAACTCTCTTGCTAACCTTCTAGAGGAATGGAGTATATTTCTGTAGATTTGAACATTGTCTTTGTCTCGACTTTGATTAAAAGTAACTGATTGGTTGAGAAGGTCTTTCCTGAGACAGTTCTTCATCTGTGTTTGGCCACTGAGGGTGAAAAGGCAGAGAAGGTTTTAGTGGTCAGGAGTACAATATAAAGGACTGCTCAGTAATAAGTGATGGAAAATTCCTCTTTACCTGTTGATTTGTGCTTACAATCCAGTGAAGGTCAGCTTCACCTGGGTCTTCTCCACTATCCTCTCTTCAGTGAGCTCATCACTTTGAATTGTTGTGGTTCCTTTGTCCAGGTATGTTTCCTGCCACTTTTCAGCTGGTGTTTGTAGACATCTTTGGACTGCAGCAGTGTACTCAGCCTAGCAGACATACAGGCAGTCCTAGATTCTCTGTCCTACCACAGAGCATAGGAGGTCTGACTTAATTTCTTTAGCCCAAGATTGCTTGTTCTAGTTGTGGTATTCTAAATTAGTTTTTCATTTTCTTCATAATACCTTCACATGATCTTTTATTACTTGGGAATTCAGTAAGTGGATTGGCTTAGCAGTTTCTTCTGGTAAGCTTAGCAAATACACAACTTCTCTCCCAGAGCAGGCAGCAGTTAGCTATTTAGTTGATGGCCAAAAAACTTTTATAGGTGTTAGGAATGGGTGTTTGATCTTGCAATTTACCCCCACTATAAGAGGCCAGAAGAGGTCAGTTACAATTCTGTGGTCACCACTGCAGGGGCCGAACTGGTGCTGGCAAGCAGTATGTGGACTGGTGTAGGCAGCACATGGGCAGCCAGCGTGTGGTAGAAGAGCTTGGACAGTGGCTTCAGCTCTAACCCTTGCAGTAAAACTGGGCTGGTCTGTAAACTCATGGTTTTGTTGGCAGGACTGGGGATGCTTGTGTTGAGAGTGGGTCAAGGTTTCTTGGGGGAAAAGGGCTATGAGTGGTCAGTGGGGATTTCAGGGGACTTTAGTGGGAATCTGGGCTTTTGAGTAGCAGAGGAAGTCTGAAGGGTAGGTTGTTCTAATGACAATTAGAACAGATTTTCAATTAGAATGATGTTCTAATTGAGTGTGGGTGCAGGCTTTTTATTTTTTCTTCTTCGCTGGACTCTCTTCCAGGCTTCCCTTTTCCATTGTCACCTCTCTGCACCTGTTGCAGTAGTCTCACTTATCTTTGTTGCCAGGTTAGGGACAAGTCATGCTGTTCCTGCTCTTACTCCAGAAGGGTAAAAGGGATGAAACAAGGATGAGAAACAAGCAAACACCATGCCATGCAGTCACTGCTGGGCACTGCTGCCTCCTTCCCTTCTGGCTCTGCATGCTGTCAAAGGTGACTCTTACTGGCAAAAATCAGTTTTTAGGCAAAAGGTTTTTGACAACTTAGATTTTTTATGTTTTTCTTACATTGCATCACTATTTCAGGTTTTAGATAAAAGGCAAAGTCATAAGTATTCTAAGGAAGTATGTTTACTCTCTTTGGGTACTACTCTTAACTGCTTGCTGTCTGGATACAAGAGTACAGTGCTAGAAGAAGCCTTAGGCTAATAGAAAATATAACTTAAGTCATTCTTATAAATGAAGTCTTATAAATTAGTTTACCCTATTGTGTAACTTAGTAACTTTAAGCAATCAGATTACTAGCTCTGGAACTGTATGCAGTCAAAATGAGGATTAATTTGTTTGGAGCGTACTTTACTTCTAATATGCATCCCCACTGTCAAACCTCCACATTCTTGCCCTTGGATTAACAGACGCTGGTCATGGAATATTGATCCCTTCCATCACAGGTTGCTGATGCTCTGCAGTTTTCAATGGCAACAGGTGGCTTCTTTCCAGACCGTGTCTGCACATTACAAGAGTGTTTGATGCAGCACTTGAAGATACCTTCCAAATGGGATGCCATCATGAAGTACAGGCAGCAGATGGCTTCAGTGAGTGATTCAGTGAGGCACCTTCTGAAGACTCAGTTGTGAGCTGTGCTTTGCCCATATTCAGATATTTCTGTCAATTTAAGGCATGGCACTATGCAGTGGTCAAACTGGTGTAGTTAAGGACATTTTGTAGCAATGACTCGGGAAACAGATGCAAGCTTTAGTTGGCATCAGTGCTTGTGCTGGTGTTTCCTAATAGCTCTTTTGAAATTGAGGTTTTGAAGAACCACAAAGCTTGTACAATAGGGGATATATATAACTTGGGTAAAAAAATGTTCCGGGTATCTTAATATATGAGACTAATTCTGAAACCTAGTTCCAGCAGAACAAGTTGGTTAAAATGAATTCTGAGTCAAGTAGGGAACGAGGAAACTTTTATTGCCAGAACTCTTAGCA